CGGGTACACTATGGTGAGCTCTAAGGTTCTCCGGGCGACGAGTATAAAGATAATTTTCTTCTAGAATATTGCATCGCATCGTCTGGTAGATGTTAATTAAATTATTAGACGAGCTTACTGTCTCCATCATCAGAGCGATGAGTGTGATGGATGTAGTAAGATCATTTGAAACGTCGGAAAACGCCCGTCATGAAATTACGATATTTGGCCATAATACGTTGTATGTCGACAGGAAACCACAAATAAGCTGTAATTACATTATTTAATATTTTGGCGTAATAGATGAATCGAACTCATTTATTCAAATCATGATCTCTGCAGAGGTCATGTTTTTCTGTAACCAGAGACCATGATTCACATCAGGTCAAATGGGGTAAATATTTCGTGGGCGGTAAGTCATACCCCGTGACATAATACGTAAATACGTAGTGTGTGAGAACACAATTTTTCAAGACCAGCTAATAGGGAGCTTCTAGTCCTATCTGCTTATTAAAGGCTAACGTTTTACTGATTTCATATAGCGAGTCTTGGCAGGTGTGTTAATTACAACTTACGAATTCTTAGATTAAAACTTATGGATTATCAAACGTACGACACGAATTCAACTCTTGTTTATAACATTAACGTTTTTTTAAACCAAGACAACTGTTATGATACCTGTTTACTCAGAAATCCGGGACCGTCCGGGAATTTCAGGACATCCCATAAAAAGGTAATCTTACAACTATCTATCAGGTTATGTAATGAAGCCATTATTGCCTGCTGAATCAACAAAGCTGTGGCCAACTTTATTCAAGCTTATAGCTAAAGTTTATGCTGCATTATGTGTTTCTGCACTTTGAACTCCACGCCATCATTCAAGATTACTGACCTACGTTATGAACAGCAGCATCACGTGATGTATGGTTAAAGATTCATGGTCACCATGAAAGGAAAAGTTAACTTTCCTACTCAATCTAGTTTAGACTTAGATCTCTGACGTAAATGTGAGCAATTCGTTAGCTCACACATCCTGAAAAACATGTCGTCATTGTAACATCGTCATATTATGACGCATGAAACTGAATTATTACGTAGATATTTTTAGGGATGTCCAACACATTCTTATCCTAGCACAGAATGACAATTCCTCAGAATATTTTACGCAAACCAAAGCAGTTTCGCCAGTAAATTCGTAGGCTGTTAAACAAAGGTTCGATTCAGAGCAGATTTTATTCTTCTGCAGTGTGTTTAGAGCAGTTACGGTATTCAACCATCCTCGGCACTCACCCACTTCTAGTGCCAAGTTTACGAATGATTGGAGATTAACCTCCATCCTACCTAGAAGCCTCCACACGGCGAGGTCCTCGTAAATATTGGCTTGACAGTATCGGTGAGTTGTATTATGAAAAATGATGTCAAGGCTTACGTGACAAAATTAAACAATACCTCGATCGGTATCCTGTACTGATCTTGGAAGTTAACGTTTCTTCTCAAGAAAAGCAACCAAATGGAAATAACATTCTGATTGTCTGTGTAGATCTTCTGGTTTGTAACGCCATACAGACTTTTAGGCAGATACAAAAGTTTCAGGAAAAAGAACTTACTGCCTCCTTCAGCGGTGAAGATGGAGGCAGTATATTACTCCGAAACGTTAGCATCGTACTGTAAGCCCCAGAAGACCAACATCAACATATTCACAGCTTTGATAACCTCAATTCTCAAAATTCTAAACCCTGAAGATAAGAGGACACTTGGAAAATCTAGGTGTAGATAGAAGGATAATATTAAGATAATCAAATAATACGATGAGATAGTGTACAATGGATTCAAAGGGTCAAGATACAGCCCAGTGGCGGTTTAATGAGTATGCGGTAATGAACCTTCCGATTCTGTAAACGGCATGGAAATTTTTGACTAACTGGTCAAAAATCAGTTTCCCAAAAATGTTTCTTCGTGAATATATTTATACGAGGCGCGTCCCAAAAGTAAGTTTCCCACTAGTCCCACAGCTAGCAAACCTTATATTGCGCGAAGCGACTGTGCGTACGTGATAGAGCAATGACGTAGCATGGCGCATGCACTAACGGTACTTCCCGCGTTCTCACAGTAGCATCATTGCAGCTGTTGAAGATGGAGGTTCTTATTCCAGCTCCCGCCGACTGTGAAGTGCGGTCAGTGATAACCCAGGTATTCAAAAGTTGGTCCCACGGTATGACCAATGTCTCAATTCCGGTGGCGAATATGTTGAAAAATAGCTGGACACTTGCTGTATCTGTTGCAATAAATATTTCCATGAAATTGTGTTTTGTTTCTGTAAACGGCCCCAGGGAAACTTACTTTTGGGACGCGCCTCGTATATATGGAAAATAGCAGACCGTAGAAGAATACGACAAAAAAAAAGGCAGTGGAAACAGTGTTCCTATTATCACAAGTTTACCCGGTATTTTGTTTCTGTTTGGCGCAGTTCCAGAGATTTAACACGCGCGCGCACAAAGCAGAATTTTTATTTTGTAGGTGGGGTCCATTTCGTCTAACCGTATTATCATCATCTGGGCGAGTAATCGACTAAAAACTAATTCCCCACTACACCTTAGACGTTGTTACAGATCAGAAACATGGTAGTATCTCAGAACGACATCGCATATTTAAGCAGTACAAGCAACAGAAACTAGTTAAACTCCTTACTAATTAAATCTAAATAAACTGGCTTCTGAAACAGCTCATGAACTCGTTAGTACCAGATACCGAAGGCTCAACATGGGTTCCGACCGTGATTACATCAGACTCAGTTTAGATTTACGTAACACTTTTTAGTATTATCTCCCCATATCTGCCTCAAACTTGAAAACTGGTCAGTTTTCTCATAGGTTTCTTCATCAAAATGTTGTATCTTTATTTCCCCTGCGCAAACTAAATCAGAACGTCATACGTAATTAGATATGTTTTACCAATACGTTATTAATTTATAATGTCTCAAAGAATAAATTCTTCCCTTGTCTTTTTGATTCCAAATTCTTCGAATTGATGGTCTTCTTTCAGATAAAAGATCTCATTTCACAGCCATACAAAAGTCGGTTCAATAATTGTTTTAATTAAGTAGATATGTAGACGTGTATTCTTACTCAGAAATATATGGACTGTGCCACAGATAATTACATGTTTGTATAGCCCTTGCATGTGGAAATCGCTGCAGAAATTCATCCCTCAAAGTCGTTACGCCACTTCCATTTGTGAACACCTCATCCGCTATCGCCCACTCACATGTTCGATGTAGGCTTTGTTTCTTTTAAACAGTAAACTCAGCAAGAAGCTTCTGGGAATGTAACATTCCATTACGGCATGTTATAAATACGCTGTGAACTGACCTACATGGAATGAAACTTCTTTCCGGGTGTGACAAGGCTCGTGTATTTAGGCCAAGTTCCCCAGAGAAGACATTTTTCATTTGCGAATAAATTGTTTTATCAGATAAATAATATAAACTGTCACATCAACATGCAAAAGAAAGCTTAGAAATTAGGTATGAAACAGACAACACATATGCATATACATACAAACACAAGCGATTAGCTTTTTTTTTTGAAAACGGAATGCAGTAAATACCCCCCCCTCCCTCCCGATGCATTCTTTCGACGCGATTAGTAAAATATTCATCACGAGTAAAAGCACGCCAAGAATCACTTCTCTGATATTGGTCTTGAGTTCGTTGAAAGTGGCGGGCCGCGTCTCGAATACGCGAATCTTCTAATTACCCCTCGCATATACCATGAAAAATTATTAAAAAATTTCCAAAGTTTCGGAAGATTTACCCGGTGATGGTGAAATGTGGCGTACATACTTCTAGATTACATTTAAATCTTGGAGTGTAAATTACTATAGAAACATTCAGAGTGAAAGAGGCCTAATGTTCAAGTTCGTCAAATTATAATACTAAACAATCAATAAAATCAGCTCACCTGGATTGATGTAGGGAGTTTTTTTTTGCTTGAAATATACAGTGGCTGCACTGACAGGAAGTAAAACACGGTGCACATGGTTTAGGACGATTCAGCACTGGGATCGGAAGTTCAGATCTCACTTAGTGTACGCTATATGATACAGCACTTGGGGTGGGTCAGTGCCTTACGAGTCGCGTTGATTGTCTAAAATTAAAAAAAAAAATCGGCACATGAAAATCGACAAGAAACAAGAATTAAACTGTTGTCACCAAGAATAAAAGTTAATATGAAACATTTAATTAAGGACTCCAAAGCACTGTGGTAACACAACCAGGGAAGCTCAATACCACTATACCAAAGTAGAATCGTAAGCCAGCTCAATCCATCTCCCATCTTCACAACCTTATCTCTATCTTAATATTATCCTCCCACTACCTAGTCAGCCTTCCAAGTGCATGTTTTCCAAAACGTTTCCTCACTAAAATCCTATTTGCACTCCTAGCCTCCCCCGTCCAAATCTAATGCCAAACTAATCATAAGTCTTCAGATTTCAATACAAACCTTACAGAGTTCGATATATTATACATTACCCTAAATTGTTCACTTATACTGAGGGTCTAAATCTTTTCCTGGTAATTCTGTTTTCAAAACACTTGCAATTTCTGTATTAGGAAAATAAAATTACATTAAATACATGACGTGCCTAGGTATCTCTTACGTACAGAACTTACCTATAACGGAAACTCGACTGCTATCTGGTGGCAATGATATTAACGACGTGAGATAATCGAAAGCTTCAACACAATACGATAAAATCTATCGATTCATTGTTACTACTTTGGGTCTCACTACTAATATCACTCCAGTGTTTCATGCTGACTTGTTATTCATTGACAATCCATGCTTGCAATGGTCTACGCTGGCCAATATAATTAATCTATGATGATAGCCGATTTAAATTTATGATGGTCGTAATACGTGATCGCGAGAATGTCGTCACCACAGCTTGCATCACCGTTCTTGCAAGATTGTGCATATATCAGTAGCATACGGGACCCATCATTTAATAAATTCAAAAAATTTCAGTTTCAAATTTTAATTTTTACTATTAGGCCTATGGTAATGTTTACATAGAGAACAGGGATATGTTCCTAGTTTTATAAATTACAAAAATATCATCACTAAGCTATATATTAAAAATATATAAACATTAATATATCTATTAACTGAAGGTGGCATATTTATATTTCAAAGTCAAATTATTCAGTTCTCAGCACAGCCAAAGAAGTGTACATACATCATACAGGAATCATTCTTAAAGTAACAATTTTTTATGTACGTGTTAAGTAACAAACCCTTAACAAGTTACTTTATACATTTTTTATTTACACATCATCACATGTTTCTTACCGGACATTTGGTAACAGGTGGTGGCAACGTAAAGACAATGCAGATAAAATGTACACGTTGGGTTCCATTCAAACAATTTATTCTAAACCTACATCCAAGGGAAATGAAATCTCATAGGAACCCAAAACCACGAAAGGCCCAGCAACCAACGGTGAACCATTTTGGAATAATAATCGTCTTCTTCTGAGGTGTGACACCACGTGGTCTTACAGGTGGTTACCAACATCCATCTTTATGCTGCAGATGGAAGCAATACGTTTCTCTGAAACGTTGGTAACTACCTATAAAATCACACGGCAAACGACCCAGAAGGCCACGATCAACATATTTACCGCCACGAGAGCCTCAGATCTCAGGAAAGTCTCGTTCCAGTCAAACTGCCCGTCTCCCCAAATGCAAGTAAAGTATTAAAATTGCGCTAACCACCACGTGTTGCCAACTTTGATAATTAAAGTACCTGCAGCACGACATCACCGGTTCAGTATTTATTTTGGCTTGCCAGATTGGTCGAGGGAGAGAGATCAGACTAAGACAGGTACCCTGGTCCTCCAAGTTGGGGGTTGGTCACAATGCTAACAACCTTGCACCATAAAAAGGAAGATGTTTCGAAACCTCAACCTAACAGAGGACCGAATGGAAGAGGAGAATTGAGGAGGCCATGGACCGAATACGGACCGGAGAGCCATAGAAGAAGTTTTTTATGATTAACTGACTTCATTATGTTCATTGACCTTCCAGAACCACAAAACTGATAACAAATCGATATTGAGCATATACAGGCAATATGATGCGATAGTGGTAGCATCTGGATTCATTATGTAAGAGTGCATCAGGCATCTTAAAAACATAAAATGATTATAAACATCATTGAAAATTACGAATTCTCATTTTTAATATAATGAGCACTGATAATTGTAAAAGTACAGTCCATACCAGCAGTGCTAGTGCATCGTAAGCATAAACAGAATTTACCATTTCAAACTCTTCTAAAAGTTTCTGCGGTGATTTGAAATAGCAGTATACTTGCGAGCATTCCAGATTGGGTCTGTCATAACCATACAAACACTGCATCGATCCTTCAAATGCGTATCGGAAATAACTTACATAACACAACCATCCTAACCATTTGGGCATGTCTCGTAGATTCAAAAAGAAACCAGAGAATAACACTAATGGGATATTTGATGCGGGTAACACAAACATAGCGACCTGTAAAATAAAATTGAAATTAACGACATTCAACAGCGAAATATATAATTTCGTAACAAAAAATTACTGAATTATCACATACATATATGAATTAAAGTAAACTTCTGATTATTAAGCAAAAATTAAAAAGTAATTTAGAAAATTTGTTGTTAAAGTCAGAACATTTAAAAATAAATAAATAAATACAATGACATATTATTTAATACATTAATATAAATAAATTGTTACTAAATATTGAAGTTTAAAACAGAATATTATTACTATCTGAAGAAGGCTGTCTTCTGGGTTCTAGCGCTGTGTAGTCTGACAGAAGTTTGCCAATATTTCAGAGGTCCTTACTGCCTCCATAATCAGGGTGATGAGTGGCAGCAAGGATCTCTGAAGTGTTGGTAAACTTCTGCCAGACTACACAGCGCTACAACCCAGAAGACAGACATCTTTGGACTCATAGCCATGAAAACCTCAAATCCTAGGTATAACACTCTCTTTGAACCCTTTTTTCAAAAATATTAAGTACTGTATTAAATTTTATATTCAACCTTTCTGATATTTGTAAATCTTTAAAAATTTTAGTGTGTGTCTGTAAATAAACATACAAATTTGTTACCTTTTTATGTTTTTCTTTCATTTTTACATATTATTCAGGGCTTCTGGGAAAATATATTTGGCAAATTGAAATAAAGTACGTTATTAAGCCTTCGTCTTGGAGGAAAATAGAAAAGATGGAATTCCCAGAGAAACACGGCTAATGGCTGAACAGAGACAGAGATGCAGTTTGTGACACTCGTATTTCCTCCGACTATTTTCAACCAACTTACAGAAGTTCTTTATAAACTTGATGTCCAGCAAACTATATTTATTTTTTGTGGCAGTCTTCATATGTTCACACTACACCAAGCATGGTTGTAGATATACAATTAAAAGATTAATTTATTAAAACAACATTAGAATCTTCAAAAGTAGAGCAAATTTAGCTTCAAAGCGTGCATTGGGAGAATTTTTTTTAAGGATTTCCGCTTTATCTCACTCCATTTCGAACATTCCTTTCTTTATCTGGTAGTTTGTAAAAATATTTTATTCGGGTCTGTTTTCTCTGTTCTGGAATTAATTCCATTTTGAGTTCTGGAATGTCTTTAAGAACTCAAAGCACTTTCGGCACAACCGAACATTTACTCTTTCAATTTCATGAAGCATACTCGCATATTCTAACAGAACTAATAAGCAGTACATCGGAAATTAACAGCGTCATATCACGTTAATCAGAAATCTAGAAATGTACATCTGATAGTAATTAACACGCAGAGATTCTTCAAGCTGACATTTTATTCTTGTACAGCAAAAGGCCATGTCCACAAAACATGGCAGCTTTTGCTCCAAGAGCGTTCATACATGTAATTATATTTATGAATACTGACCTCAGGGTTCTTGAAAAAAGCACCCATTGCAAGTCCCAGGTTGTGTGAAATAAGAGTAATCAACAGACATAAAACCCAAAATTGTAAAAATCTTGTCCCATCAGAAGGTTGACCCGTCAGAAAATATCCCACAAGTAGGAATACAGTAGGACATATAATCTGTTAACAATAAACAGAAACACAAAATTAATTTATAAAGCACTTCAAATGAAAGTGCAAGTAAGTGTTACACAGAAACACTCATTTTCGTCTAACTTACATACCAAATGAAGGTCAGGAATTCAGAAATTCTCTTTCACTCTGAAATCTTTATATTGTAGTTCAGACAAAAAATTACAAAAATCTTAACGTGTTTCGATATAATGCGAGTTGCGATCGTAAAGTTTAAAGACTGTGTCAATAGAGGGCGAATTGCCAAAGACTTGCCAAAACGGCTACGGAAACCTATGAAATGCTAAAGCAAGCATTTGGGGAGTCCGCAATGGGTCGTGCACAAACTTTTGTGTGGCATTCACGTTTTAAAAATGGCCGAACCTCTGTCGATGATGACGAGCGTTCTGGACGACCATCTTCGAGCGCAACGCCCGAAAATGTTACGAAGATTCGGCAGGCCATTCACGAAGATCGACGTCTTACCATCAACGACTTGTGCGACATTTTTGGGATAGGCTATGGGACCTGTCAGCTGATTCTAAAGGATGAACTCCACATGCGACGCATCCTGTCTGAGGACCAGAAGCAGAATCGACTTCTCGTTTGTCAGGAGTTTAAAGATCTTGCAAGAACCGACCCCAACTTCCTTTCTAAGGTTTCCTCTTCTCAAAGATGAAAATTCAGCTAAAGGGAAGGAGATTTGAGACGATAGAAGAGATTCAGGCAGAATCGCAGATGGTGCTTGACAGGCTGACAAAGAAAGATTTCCAGGCTTGGCAGCGGCGCTGGGATCGTTGTGTTCACTCCCAGGGGGACTACTTCGAGGGTGATGGATGAATTTAATACCTGAGATAAGTGTACGGGTTTTTATAGGCGCAGTCTGGAAACTTTCCGATCGCACCTCGTATAAGGAATATTCTGTCTCGAAGACGAAAGATACTTTAGTTACTTGCCTGCAAAGGGATATCTGCAATCATTTTGGAGAAGTAATATGCCTCTAGCGAGTACCAGTTGTTAAGGTGTTCATGTAAAACTACCGACGTCTCCAGAGGAACTGAAATATGTAAGTTAGCACATGTATGCACAGTCACCAAGATTTAAATTTTGGAAGAACTCTACTCACAGTTTGACAGCAATGGAAGACAAATAATATAAATACTACGACTTCAGTTTTCAGGGATGGGGCACACCGTTGCAACATTTGATGCGGCTCATCCCCAAAAGCTGAAGTTACACATTGAACTCCAGCTGTAGAAATTTAAGAACAAGAAGAGTAAATTTGTAAAAAAAAAATTTAAAAACCGAAAAATGTTGACAATCGTCTGAAAAGCGCAGAAAACAAAAAAGTTTCGATAAATTTGAAAAAAATTGAAGTTGAAATTTTTCTATTTATTTAGTTTTGTGCGCTTTTTGATCTGTTTCCAGCATTCTTTTGATTTTTCGAAAATTTCAAAAATTAGAATTTTTTTTCAAAATTCTCTGCGACCGATCCCGCCTGACACGGACTCTCCCTCACACGGTCTCTGTCGGACAGCTGCACCAACGAGCTAGGGGGGCTGATAACATGAGCAGCACAGAGGATCATGGGTAATGATGTAATCACAGAACATCACCCTCCCACCTCACATTGGTGTTAACAACTGTTGAAAATTAAAACGTAAAAGTTTGGAGTAGCCTCCAATGACATAAACTCCACACCAAATTTCATGAAATTATGTTCAGTCAAAAGATTTCTGTCTTCTGGGTTGTTGCGCTGTGTAGTCTGGTCGATGTTAACCAACGTTTCAGAGGTCACACTGCCTCCGTCAACAGCACAACAACCCAGAAGACAGAAATCTTCATACTCACCGCTGTGAAAACCTCAAATCTTACATATGTTCAGTCAATCTCAAAGTACATACACACATCACAGGTAATTACCTAATTAGGCAGCAATGTTATCATCAGTGGCATGGAAGATCACGGATAATGATATCATCGTATATCATCATCCAAGATCATCAGTCACGTTGGTATCAAATTCAAAATGATGAGTTTGAAGTAGCCTCCAATTTCCTAACATCCACACTAAGTTTCATAAAAATCCATTCCGCCATTTTTGAGATGTTATTAAAGTGACACCTTTTCCTCTAAGTTTCTGTATAATTTCATGTTGCACTTACCAGATAATATACTTGGTACTCCATTGGCAAAGACCAAGAACAACTTAAAGAAGAAAATGCATGAAATATTGCCCATTACTTTTGCAGCATCATTTCCAGCATCATAATAGAGTGCTCCAAGTAATAATCCAATAATCAAATGGCAGATTACTCGAAGGTGGACAGCCATCTGCAAATTAAGTTTTGGTTGTCTTAGTTTACATCCAAGCACAGAGTTTATGTGCAGATAAATGTGATTCCTAACAGAACTGACCACTTACACTAAAGAATAAGTGGTATATTTGTAACATTTTAACAAAAGGATTGTTTAGGAGAAGAATTACAATAATTTTGGATGTTTGAATGATTTCAACAAGTATCAGAAACTTGATTCAACATTTTTAAACACTGAAACATATTTAACCATAAAATGTAACTTCATTGTGTGTAAGAAGAATGGGAGTAAGTTATATTATATAAAACTTAATTATACTGTAATGCTGATATACACGAACTTCATAAAAAATTCAGAATCCAACAATAAAATAAAAATGCTGTTACAGTATATGAAATTATAATTAAAAAAGACAATTATATTACAATAGGCCAAACATCAAATTTTATGGAACTACCATTTGTAATTTATAGTGCAGGAATTATTAATAAACAAATTAAGACCTATGTAGTTATATTTATTTGTATCATACTGGAATATAGCACTTTCTTTGTATTTCTGGGATACTTGTTAAACAAAGTTTCATAAGATAGATTATTTTGGGTACTTGTGGGTTATCAGGACACAAATAGGTTAGGTTTAGTTGTCATTTATTGAAATAAAATATAATAACTTTCAAGTATGTCATTTATCCACACACATTAACCTAACCTAACCTAACCTATTTTTAAAGCGATGTGTCCTGATAACCCACAAGTACTGTATTTTGCTTTATTATTTTAAATACATACCTTATCTCTTAGAGAACACATTAATGATCTCTTTAACAAAACTTGAAACTGCTTCCATCCTGACTGAGGATAACTTGTTCCTGCATAAACTTCTTTTTCTGTACAGATTTGTATAGCTGTGTCATTCCATTTTTGTGTTGTCAGATGCAACATTGATACTAAAATTTAAATTACACAAAAATATAATCTTATCTGTGCACTGAACTTTGAGAAATCCTACAGTAGTGCTACTCTATACTTCAGAGCCACAAAATAAGGAAAGATGAATATTTACATGAATGTTCAAAAAAATAAATTTGTTTCTTCATTACAGAGCCTTCTGTTATTGTGCTATGTCAAAATGATAAACTCTACAGTTTTAGAGGAACTTTCTGCCTGATTCAATGGCATAGGATATTTTTATATAGGAAGTATCAGACTCACAACAGTCTTAAACTGTGGACAGTTAGATGGTGTAAGCATAATTATGGAAAATCAATCTAGGTAGGATTCATTCATGGGAACACCTGAATAAAGCCAAATCTGTTGTCATGGATTGTCAGATTGGTTAATGAGTTTGAAGTTGACTGAAATTTAGTGGCTACTTTCAGTTGTCAGATACATTAAATATGTTGATTTCAAAATCTAAAAAGTATACTTTAAGTAACTTAACATAGATTTTTGTAGTGGTTTTTTTCTCCAAACCAGACAAAATGGTTATTTATATTATTACTCTGTTCATTGAATTCTCTAGTGGCATTTCCTTCGCACCTGAGTTAATGGTTATAATGCTGTCACCCAGTTGATAGAGCACTGAGAAAATGGGGTGCCCAAGTGATGGAAAGTTGAAATGAACATGGGAAGATAATATACTCTTTACACCTGTTACCATGGAGATATTATGCTAAGTTTTGTGACCTTACTGGCAAACATAACAGACAATTAGTTCCGATAAAGTAAAACAGGGTCCCGCGCCGTAGCTGCGCGGTCTGAGGCATCATGCTTCGGACCGGCGATATGGAATGCGCACTGGTTCGAGTCTCGGGGGAGAAGACATTTTCTCATGAGCTTTTGACCAGTGTATGGGACCGGTGCCAACCCAGCATCGTGAGGAAATTGGGGAGCTACAATGAGTAGCGTAATCCGGTCAGGAAAGCTAGCAATGGCTGAGGGTTCGTCGTGCTGACCACATGTCACCCTATATTTGGTTGGATGATCGTTCACCTCTGCTTAGGCATGTGAACGTGAGACCAGCAGTCAAGCTAGTCGGCTTCAGCTCTCTGGAGCTGTTACGCCACGGATTTAATTTAATTTTTTAAAGTAAAACAGGATAGACTGCTCAACTAACAAATAACAACTCTACCACTTATAGTGACTGCATACCAAATAACATTCACATGCATTACTACATTTTTTAAAAGTCCATCCTTAAAAGAACTCCATGGATTCAGAAAATACATTACTACATTTGCTACTAATATGTTATTCACCTCACAGTCATTAATATTACCTACTTTCTTCACTGTCAGCAACTTGCTGACACTCCAGTAGGTCACATTCTTTAGCGTTGAATTTTTCAATCAGCTTATCTCTGTTGTCACCTCTCTCTCCACATGCAACGTCAATTACTGAAAGTAATATTAGTATTAATATATTTCTATAACACAGAAAGTATAATATGCAGAACTATATTCAGGTAAAACAAATCCTTTATTCAAATCAAACATATCTGTAGTTCTAGAAGCTTAAAGAGGTGACTTAGAACTATTTTAGTGACTCAGGTATTACGGATTAAAACATCTTTCTACAATGCTTAGAACAATGTAAAAAAGTGCCTAAGACACAATTTTACCTTAACAATAATAATTATAGTCCAGTCTTAATTAACTGTGTAGAAGTTAACAAAATTATACACTAACATAATTTAATAAAACATAATAATGCCTTTCATATACGAGGCGCGTCCTCAAAGTAAGTTTCCCACTCGTCCCACAGCTAGCAAACCTTATATTGCGCGAAGCGACTGTGCGTACGTGATAGAGCAATGACGTAGCATGGCGCATGCACTAACGGAACTTCCCGCGTTCTCACATTAGCATCGTTGCAGCTGTTGAAGATGGAGGTTCTTATTCCAGCCCCCGCCGACTGTGAAGTGCGGTCAGTGATAACGCTAGGCCGCACACGGCTCGACGGACAGCAAGTCTCCTGCAGGAGTTCAGCTGGGAGGTGTTTAATCATTCACCCTACAGCCCGGACCTCGCTCCCAGTGATTTCCATCTTTTCCTACACCTCAAGAAATTCCTGTCCGGTCAGCGTCAGCGTCAGCGTTTTGAGAATGAAAGAGAGGCGGAGATGGTTGTCACACAGTGGTTCCAATCCCAGGCGGCAGACTTCTACGACACAGGTATTCAAAAGTTGGTCCCACGGTATGACAAATGTCTCAATTCCGGTAGCGAATATGTTGAAAAATAGCTGGACACTTGCTGTATCTGTTGCAATAAATATTCCCATGAAATTGTGTTTTGTTTCTGTAAACGGCCCCAGGGAAACTTACTTGGGGGACGAGCCTCGTATGTTGTGTGGTTCAGTCAGGTTCACAACTCGCTTATCTGAAATATCATCATCCCATCTCAGTCCTTCAGGTGGTATCTTCCCCATGAGAGTTCCAACGTGTGTACTCGCTGTGTGGGATCTCCCAGTCAAGCACCAACGCCACCGAAAGGTGGATTTAAAATCGATACAATGACAACAAAGTATAAATTACACTGCAAACTTTTACGTAGTATTTCTTGAGCTAAATAACATCGTTCATTTTGTTTTATAAATCAGTAAATCGAAGGACTCACACTGCTCTAATTCTTCAAGAACGACTCATTACTACGATTTAGTTTTAACATTGCCCAATGGTGTGCGAGGTAAGAAGTCAAACATAAATGTCCATACCAACTAAAACTAGGTCCACTCCAAATTCCCTTCGTACGATGTTATCCGTTTCACTTCGTCTGCCCTAACCGCCATTATTCATTAAGTCAAATATTCGCTTTGATATCTTACAATCTAATTATCATCGAGGGACTATTTTAACGTGGCATTAAATTCCTAAATGCATGGAGATAACGAAGCTGTCGCAAAACATTTCTCAAGTAGTGTCAGTACGAATCTAGAACCCTACTAGCAATGTTAATCATTAAGGAACATATTTTGACTGTCAACACCGTGTCGAAATAATGATCACGTTCTCGAGGCGGTGAGTATGAAGAAGACTGTCCTCTGAGTTGTAGCGCCGTGTAATCTGTTAGAAGTTTGCCCACGTTTCAAAAGTGCTTGCTGCCTCCATCATCAGGGCGATAATCGTAAATACAGTCTTCGTCTTTCGTGCGTTATCAGCAAGATAAGCACAAAACAGGCTAATTTCGTACAATCGAAAACATCAACATAACTGAAGCACAAATCTGTGAAGTGGGAGCACCACATAATTTAATAACATGAAATGACAATATGCTTTTTTTAATGCAACTTTAAGGAGAACGTGCAACAATATGACAGCTACATAAAATATGCATTTCAGCTTCCGCTTTAATGTCGATAACTAATTAACCATTGGAGCAAGGCACATGGATTTTGGATGTCAACAGATCGTAAACATACCTACAGAATTCTGTATGAAGTATTACCCATAAATCAGCAATTAAAACACAGTGACGGTACGTATCCGATCATGTTCCACAAAATCGGTAATTAGGTAAAAACTTGTTCCTTCCTATCACCTGCCACATAAAAAAGGTACTTAATAAAAGATTCAGGATATGATCAGTGGCTTCCTCTCGTAAGCACGGTAATAAAACTCAACGTTCCATAATGGGCGAGGAATTTCTTGCCTACTTGAGAATATTATAAGCTCCTCAAAGAGGACTTTGTTCCATGCACTTGGCTAATTTGTCAGATTAACAAATTAATCCCATCCCAGGCGGCAGACTTCTACGACACAGGTATTCCAAAGTTGGTCCCACGGTATGACAAATGTCTCAATTCCGGTGGCGAATATGTTGAAAATAGCTGGACACTTGCTGTATCTGTTGCAATAAATATTTCCATGAAATTGTGTTTTGTTTCTGTAAACGGCCCCAGGGAAACTTACTTTGAGGACGCGCCTCGTACATCATTTTGAAACATTCCATATAGTAAAAAAATCCCAAAAAGGTTATGTGTGCTATTTCTAAAGTATAAATGTCACATATTCATAGTTCTACATCAGACATGCCAGCTTTATTTTTTTACACGGTTTTAAGTATTGCCATCATAAGTTTATTGTAATACACAAAGATGCAGCAGACTAAAATACACTAATAAAAGGTATTATATTCTTTCAATTCATCTTACTTATTATTAATCTGGCTCACCAAGAACTGTATGTACTTTGAAAACTGATGGCATAATTGGTCTATTAAATTACAACGTCCTATTTTAAAAATTTATGCTCACCAAAATCTGCTCTGTTGTAGAAATTGGGGCATTGGAATCCTGCCTCCTCAAAGACACTTGTCAGGTCATCAACAGGTCCACTATAAAGGCACTGTCCTTCTGCTACAACACAGATGTCATCAAACATCTGAAAGAGCTGTGAACTTGGCTGGTGGATGGAACAAACTACCGTCCTACCGCCTTCAGCTAGAGATTTCAGATGTGAGATTACTTGTAAAGCTGATGAACTGTCCAGTCCACTGAAAAATTGTCAGTTATTATATATCATTCAAATCATATCTTGCACTGGAAAGGCATGTTATCTGTACTGTCTGTGTTTTGTACAAGAATCCAGAATCAGTGCACATCTTTTCAGCATGACTTCCTGATCCTCAGATTGAAGAATGTCAGACATCTGTGAACACACTCGTGCATGATCTACGCTGGTCCATCACATAGTGGCTGGTGGGTACTCCAACCTCAGAAAGGAATTCCTTCAGGTTCATATTTCATTTCATTGGAACTTTACTGTGTTTTAAAACTTGAATACCAATATCAAAATGTCAGATTTTGACAGGCAAGTTATGGACATTGCTCTAAGGTCTTTGATTATTTAAATTTAAAATCAGACAATTGGCCAGTGTGCAAATATCTGTTATTAATTTATAATATTGGAAATTGTGTGTTATTTTTAGCAATACAAATTATCAGAAGTTCAAACTAAAGCAACTCATGTCACAACCTTCCCTTTATCTACGCAACAATCAATCACATTGAGTCACATTGCGTCATTATACTAATTAAACACGTAATTGGAACAGGCTAAAAGAAACAAATAAACTGGTTTAGAAACCAATGACTTAAGAAGTATTGAACTGACCTCGTAGGCTCATCAAAAAACATGACTGGTGGATTTGACAATAGCTCAAGGCCAATTGACAGTCTCTTCTTCTCTCCTCCAGATAATTTTGCGACAGGTACATCCATCACCTTCTCCAGCCCAAGAAGACTCAGTATTTTGTCAATCTGTCATAATGTTGAAGTTTTTAAAGAAAGTTGTAATTTGTGGTACATAAGATGATAATAACAGCGTATAAAGTTAAATTTGTCAACAGGAATTGAAATATTAAATGGAATACACCAATATAGCATTACAATATGTTATTTTAATATATAGATCTGAGCTCTTACTTTACTAGCATTAATTTTATTTGTATGTATAATGTGATGTTTCATAATCCAAGTTAAAGTGATAACAAATGTTACACGTACATTTCATGATCTCCATTTAGTAGTCAGCAGTCAGTTCTTTCTGTTATGTTACAGGTACAATTATTCACAGAAGATTCAGAAATTATTGTTGAGTGCATTTAATTCCCTTTTTGAGAAACTCCATGAAGTGTGATTTTTGTTTCATGTAAAATATGATTAATATTCAACCAATATGTACCAAAATTAAATTCACTATACATCTTTTAGTGTGAATTCCAAATACCAGGTATAATTTAAATTCAAGCAGTAGTTTTGGAGATGCCAACCAACAAACAGACAGACAGACAAGACCCTCCCATAATATGTTAAGTTTAAGTACTTTTTGCAAAGAACATGCATAAATCTGATAGTTGTACTTAAAAGTTTTCCAATATATAATTCTTAATGCAACCATCACAGAATATTTTGCTAGCATAATCTATGACCTTTAGAAGCATGGGCCTTAAATAACTTAACTGTTAATTAATTTTTATGTTAACATTTAAAGAAAGTTGCTTTCTTGTTTTAAAAATCTGTTTCCTTCACTGAACTTGTTCTCACAGGAACAAGATAACCTTGAAATCACTTCTCAGAGCTGGTTTGGCTAGAATTATTTTTATTTCCACACTGAGCATAGGCTGTGGCAGTACTCGCAAACTGGTGGAGAAATGCAGATTACGATGAGCATGATAAATGCAATATAAAACACAAGAACATGCAATTGAATTCAGTAGACTTAAAATTCATCAGAAGGAACCAAGGTTGCCAATAACCCCAACACAGCAATAATTTCAGTTGGACTAAATTCACTGTTGATGTATTCACTTAATTATTTTGCTTCATTGCGACCACCTACATGCCTCACCAGTGAAGCATGCCTGGAAATTTTAAAATCACAAATATATTG